GCGTTTTTTTTTTTTTTTTTTTTTGCGTATTGTTGCACAATCTTTACTGCAATAACGTGCGCTGAGTCGAACAATGAAAGGAAAATTATCTTCTTAGCGTGTTAGGTCCCTCAGCGTCTATAAGTACCTAGGCGTGGAACAAAGAATGCTGGTGACGGATGAAGCGACAGGCAGGTTTAAGGCCTCAATGACAGCCAAAGCCCAGATTATTTTCGGCAGCGGCCTGACTTGGGGTCAAATGACTCGCGTTTACAGCTCCATTGCGGTTGCTGGCATGCGAACGTTTGGCCCTTCTGATGTCTATCTACTAAGGTTTCAAATTCGCCAGTCTTGACCTTGTTTAGCCCGTTGCTTCTGCCTCCCTGATCACTACCACGTATCGATAAGTTGTAAGTTTTAAGAAGCAGTAGAATGTGCAAACGTTAGAGGTAAAAATAGAAAGGATCCTAAGCAACCATAAAAATTGGAACATTACATCGTTACTCTACACAATGCACTCACTACATCGGAGAAAAACCACATGAAAAAATAACCAGAAAAATAAAAAATAACCAGTACCATGGACATTGCATGAGCCATGGTACTGAAGAAAATAAGCTGTACCATAGAAAAATAACCAGTATCATGAAAAAAAAAATAACCAGTACCATGGAAAAAACAGAAAATAGAAAAAATAACCAGTACCATGGACATTGGATGGACTGTGCCCTTCATTGTCGACAGTAACTGGAAGAACGTATCGATGTCCCTTTATATTCGAGATGAAAGACGGCGCAGCCGAGAAATATAATGAAGTTGCAGGAACAATCTTCATCTGCAAGAAAACCATAAAGTCAAGCAGCGAACTGCCAGCGAAAACTAAGAAAAAAAAAAACACTAACAACGGATGCTCAAGTGTTCAAATTTTAAACTTCCATCTTTCTTAATTCTGGCTCGACAAGCACAAATGTTTACATCGCGCCAACTTGCAATAAATAGCGACCCGCTCCAGGGCAGCGGTGCGATCATGCGTAGGGGGCTATTACACTAAAAATTTCAGCTTCGTATATTCAGTGGTTCCCGAGATAATAATTTACCCGCAAAAATTTTCACGGGGCCGTTCGTGTTAACCGCTGGCAAGAGAAAGCTAAATTTGAATAGGCAAGGTCGAGCGTGAGCAGGGGATCATTACCCTAAAATTCCAGTTTCGTGCATCCAGTGGTTCCCGTGACAATAACTTTGCCCGCCAAAACTTTTACGGGGCCACACGTGTTACCCGCAGATACGGGGACCTGTATTTAAATTTGCGGGGTCACACGTGAGTGGAGAACGTTCCCATAAATTTTCAGCTTCCTAGCTTTTGTGGTTCTCGAGTTGAAAGTTGCGGACAAGTTGCTGCGAATACACACACACACAGACAACCGTTTCGTACTGCTGTTACACAGCACAAAACGCATAAAAATGCATTTAAAAATTACCATCTAGCTACTTATTGAAAAATAAGCGGTTTGCATCGAAATTATACCTTGGTAAAAATCGCCTGATTTTCCAGATCATATGATGCAACAACAGCTTCGCCTGCTTCCCGTGCCACCGCAACACCACCAGCTGCATCAACAAACTGAAAATGTCGCTTTGCATCCAGTTCCTTCCAGACAACTGTTGGCAGTGGCGAATTGAAGCAGATAATCTCCGAAACGGTGAGCGAATCCAAACGAGGTAAAATAGCATCGGCAACTGGGAGTCGTAAAAATACCTCAAGCTCGGGATTATTTCGATCCCAAACCTGAAATTTTCTTTACAAATAATACAAGACCATCTTTAGTGTGGGATCTGATCCAAAACGCAAGTTGCAACTCACCTTGAACACTGTCTCACCAACTTCTTTTAATAGAATATCGAAAGAATGGTTGTCGTTGCTTGGAAAGATTTCAGTTAAGTCGAATCTGCAAAAACATTCAAAAGTATTCAAAAGTTTATGAAAATAGGTGGCATGGAGCTGAAGGCTGAGCTCTCTCTTCCAAGCCCGTTAGCGCCCACTGCTTCTGCTAATTGCATGCGCTATCTCCTCAAATTCGCATGCGTAAGCATTTTCCTTTTTAAAGCTACTGAAAGAAAAGAATAATAATCGTTTTTATGAAAAATTTGACTAAAAAATCAAAAACAAAACTGCACCGATGAGGTCTAAAATTCAGCAAATGTTTGGCAGCATCGAATGTGCGGCCCAGATGATCGCGCGACTCGACGTTGAAATTTAAGCGGTATCCAAGAGGCAATGCTGTTAGGGGTTTTTCCGGCAAATTGGTATATTTCACATGAAGATGGAGAGCAGCCACCGGCATTACCTGAAATCTTAAGGCTTCAGTGTGGTTTAGAAAGTGGCAGGGACTTCTCTTAAAGTAGCCCTGATCATAAGTTCACCTGAAATTTGACTTGCGTGAAAATATATTACGGCAAATATTTGAGCAGTGACAGACAAGGGATAAAGCATAAGAATCCTAATTAATGAACTGGAGCATCAGAGGGAATAATATAATCTAAAAGTTACCCGGGAAGAGTATATGAGAGAAAGCAGAGGACACTCTGAACTCAGCAGCAGCAGACTAAGTAAGCTTTCATTGCAGTGTAAATATGATTTGCTAGTTTTAAATATTAAATAATAATCTGTGACTTTCTTTTCGATTTTTTAACTGATAACCTAAATTACCACCGTATGGCCCCCTCTTTTCTTGTCTGTTTTATACCCCCGTTAATCACCCTTTGTAAGAGTGAAGCATCTAGACATAATACTGTAATTCACCTGAACAATGCTTTCTTCTTGAAGCCAGATGGCAGCTGGTACAAAGGGGAGGCTGGTGCGAAATCCTTCCATGGGGAGGGATAAAACATCTATGTAAACCCTCCTTTTCTTCATTCGAAGTCCGGCTTTTGGTATCGTCCCACTCCTTCGACTTCGTCAGGCAGCTCAATGGTACATTCTCCCTTTCGACAAACAAATCCTCTTCGATTAAACGACAAGTCCTCCAATTCCTAGGTTCCACGGACCAACCTACTGCCAAC